GCCGCCGCCGCCAATGGAGGAGGAGGAATTACCACCGATGGAAGGAACATCGGAAGATGAACCACGATTTAAAAGGGAGAGGGCTGACGTAATGCTGAACTCGAGAGCGGTTAAAGATGAAGAGGCGAAGATGAAGAAGGAGGTTTCCCTGCCACCTCCGATCCGGTGGAGGAAAGGAGAATTGATCGGGTGCGGAGCATTTGGGAGAGTTCACATGGGGATGAACCTCGATTCAGGCGAGTTGCTTGCAGTCAAAGAGGTTAGTATCGTCAATGTGTTAAATTTACTTCTTTCGCATGAGGATGTAATTGATTGACATCTGTGTGCTTCTATTTTCTTCTGAGAACAGGTCTCTATTGCGGCGAATAATTCTTCGAAGAAAACACAAGTAATGGCACTGCCTTGAGCTCCTGTTTTTGTATATCATGCTTGTTCTGTTTGTTTGATTCCTCTGTGAATGAGCTCTCATTATTGCTTATCTTCAAAAATTGTATAGTTTCCTAGTTTATTGTTATGGGATGAAATACTTTTGATGTTCAGCCACTTGACTTGTTTATTAGCTAAATAATTTGTTTGTAGTATCAACAAAATGTCCATTTTAATGGTGCATGGATTTTTCAGGAATACATTGGGGAGCTTGAAAAGGAAGTGAACCTCCTGAAAAATCTGTCACACCCAAATATTGTGGTGAGACAAGTTAAATTTCAGTTCAACCAGTCAGTTTGTGTCAAGGGGCTATGCAATTTCTCATTCAGTTACTTTTTTTTTTTTGGCAGAGATACCTGGGAACTGCCAGGGAGGAGGATTCACTCAATATATTACTGGAATTTGTGCCAGGTGGATCAATTTCATCGCTTTTGGGAAAGTTTGGGTCCTTTCCAGAATCTGTGAGTTGATTACCCTTAGCATCATATCGTGATCATACAAAAGTCCTAGGAAACTTATTTATTAGAAATAAATATTGGAAATTAGTTACATTGGAGCAGAAATCTTAATTCCTCTTCTCTACCTATATGATGGTGCCTGTCTTGCTATCTGCGATCAGCTTCTAGGTGTTATATGCTTCAGCATTATAATATGTCATTTTTCTTATACCCTAACCTAACTTTTTAGCATGTTCTTGTTAGCATAGGTACTGATTTCAAATTTTTGTGGATCCTTCCCACAATTTAATAATTTATTCCGGTAACTCTAATATTTTGTCCGATTTTATTTCAGGTTATAAGAATGTACACGAAACAATTATTGTTAGGACTGGAGTACCTACATAAGAACAAAATTATGCACAGAGACATTAAGGTATTCTAGTTTCTGTATATAAATGCATACATATATTTGTATGTGTCTGCACATGTGTACATTGTGCTTTAAAGTGCTTACTAGCTCAACTTATGAAGAGTTTTTGGATTCTTATCAGGGAGCAAATATTCTTGTTGACAATAAAGGTTGCATTAAGCTTGCTGACTTTGGAGCATCCAAGAAAGTTGAAGCATTGGTAAGTCTTTCTTTCTTTTGTCCCTTTTCTGGTTAGTTACCTTCTCCATTTTGCTCAATAGGCCTTGTAATCGTTACTGAGGACCTGTTGTTGCAGGCCACCATAACTGGTGCCAAATCAATGAAGGGCACACCTTATTGGATGGCTCCTGAAGTTATTGTTCAGAGTGGTCACAGCTAGTAAGTCCGAAAATAGATAACGGGAAACTAACAGAAAAAAATAGCTCAGTTTTAACTAGCTGGTGATGTTAGCTACCTACTTGTCTGTTGTTTCACAATCTACAAACCTATATACTTGTGTTCAAAATTAGTGTTCGATCCAATATAGATTTATACTTATATTCATGAACGAAATCCTACAGCTCAGCAGATATATGGAGTGTAGGATGCACAGTTATTGAAATGGCTACTGGGAAGGCTCCTTGGAGCCAGCAGTATCAGGAGGTTTTGTAATTTACTGATTTAACTGAATTGTACTTTTTAGGTGCCTTTTTGTTTCAAAATTTTCTATTGTCCGGTGTCATTGGTAAATTCCAAATACTGACAGCTGCTATCATTTAGGTTGCTGCTCTATTTTATGTTGGAACTACCAAATCTCACCCTCCAATACCTGAGCATCTTTCGGTTGAGGCAAAAGACTTCCTGTTAAAATGCTTGCAAAAGTATGTTTGCCCATGTTTGCATTTACATTTTCCTTATATCCACTATTTATTTTTTATGAAACTGCTCTTTCAGGCAGGTGTTGCTATGAATGAAATTATATTGGGTACTTGATATTTTCCTTTGATTTAGTTCATGACTCACTTGATTCTCTTCATGTCTAATTTCACATGATTTTTGCAGGGAGCCGGACCTGAGGCCTACTGCATCAGAGTTGTTAAAGGTAGTAGTGCCATCAAGACATTAATTAGGCTTTCTTTGAGCATCACATACATGGTTCTTAAGATTATTAATATGGCGCCATTTCATGCTGTGGTGTCACTACACAATTTATTACAAAATTAATCCCATTGTTGGGTTCATATGTTGTGATTCATTATTTATGCTATTTACCATTCGCTTGTTTTCAGCATCCGTTTGTGACTGAAGAATGTCGGAAATCCCACCTCGTACTCCGCTCTTCAATTGTGGTTAGAAGATGCTTGTTTCGTGATACTTATTTCGTGGTCCATAAGGATCGTGTACATTATTCACTAATAACTTGATGCTTGGATCAACAGGACGGTTCTGGAAAGCGGATGGTAGCACATGGGCTGGATATGAAAAAATCGTAAGTGCTTCCTCAGAATTAACTCGGATAAATCTTATGGTTTTCTTGGATTACTATTTGTCTGAGCTGCAATAAAATTTGAGAATATGATCATGCTGCAGAATGAACCTAGATGCAAGAAGCTCATGCAAGGGACTTAAAGATTTTAGTGAGTTGGGTGGTCCCAGTTGTTCCACCATTCATTCCGAGCAGCTTTCAGGACGAGAATCTCTCTGGCAGCCCTCTAATTTTGATGACGATGATGATATGTGTAGAATTGATGACAATGATCTTGTGCTTTGTGCATCCACAAAATTCAAGCATACTCTTCTTTCTACTGAATGTAATCAGGTTAAAACGAGTAAATATCTTTTTGTAATGTCAAATATGCTGCTCGTGGTGACTGGATATTTTCAGTAGTAGAAGGCTATATTTCTTCTAATTTAAATTTCTGATTGGTGTTCTTCGTGTAGAGTTTTAATCCTATGAGCGAGCCTAATGATGACTGGCCATGCAAGTTTGATGAAAGTCCTGAATTGACTAAAAGTGGAATCGCACTTCTCTCGAGTCAGATAGATGAACCTGTAAATGGATCTATAGCACCCGCTGATGTGGATTGCGGCTTTACATTTCCAAGAGACCAGTTGCTTCATGAAGACGATGATGAAGTGACAGAATCAAAGATAAGGGCTTTCCTGGATGAAAAGGTTGCCAACTATCCAAATAATTTATCCTATGCTGAATCTTTTGCATCCTTCTCTAGCATTTTATATAGCTTCCATATATATTTTTGTTCAATTTGATTTTTCAATGCTGTCATATGTACAGGCTGTGGAACTGAAGAAGCTCCAAACCCCTCTTTACGAGTTCTACAATTCCTTGAATGTCTCTCGTAGTGTAAGTTCTGTGGGTATTGGCAACAAGGAAAACATTTCGAGTAACTGCAACTTACCTCCTAAAAGTAGATCCCCAAACAAGATGGGCAATAGAAGATTTTCCACTGCTGTTGTTGATGTTGAGTACACGTCGAGTCCTGTAAGACGTGTATCAAATATTGGTGATATGAATTTCCGAGCTTCTGAGGACACTAAAGAGATGCCTCTTGATTATCAACAAGAGCCACTTACTCCAAGGTATGCCAAAATCTCTTCTGTGCCATTAATTTTTGTTAGCATTTTAATCCTAACTCGATGTTATGCCACATGTTTCCCACTCTAGCAGTAAGTTCTCCGAGATACAGAGGAAATGGAAAGAAGAACTTGATGAAGAACTTGAAAGGACTAGAGGCAAGTTGTGTTTGATTACATGCATATTTGTTAAAGTTTCTATTTATCTGTCTTCATGGTGACATTGCGCTCTGGAAGCTTTCTCAGATCGAAGAATGTAACTTATCCTCAGAATTCAATTATTTTGAAGCGAAAATCACATTTTGTACACAGTTTATTAACGTATGAATGTGCCATATACTTAGACAATATGGTTACTCTTTTCAAAAATTGGTTGTGTATATTTGCCGTCATGACAATCTCATCCATTGCTGGTGTTTGATTTTCCATACACTTGTATTCATATATTGTTGCGCGTGCCATTGAGCATGCAATTTTAGTCCAGACCTTGACAAAATTTGTACACTGGCAGAGCTCATGCGCCAAGCAGGTGCAGCTAAAACATCATCTCCTAAGGAAAGGATTTTGAGTCGACAAAAAGATCGATCAAGGCTTGCGTCTCCAGGGCGATAGACGTAAGTATCAATTATCTTACAAAAACGATCCAAATGATTTTACTGCTACTTCTTTTCTTTTATTAAGTACGCGCATTTTTCTGCAGGCACCATGAGTTTTGAGTTTAGGACTCCACTATCAAAGGGATGTGTCTCTGAGTATACCGGTTTTTTCAAGTGCCGCAGTTACGGTAAAAACATTTCACATTTTTCTTTTCATATTTGTGCATAGAGGTGGTGGTTTCGAAAATGTCGCAGTCATTATTGCTACATGGTCATAATTCATTCGTCCAAACAAGATGATCAACCGACCGACAGCTCGTGTTTGAGTAATTGTGGTTCACCCAAAGGAATAAGAATGAACAAAATCATAAGAAAAACCCTCTATGAAGCTGAAGGACTTGCAGTATGTATGTATCATGCAGCGGAAAAACTACATTGGCATGATTTTGGCGTTTTCGGTGCACGTGTATCATTTGTCTACATTTCTATACCTTTTTTTTCCCCCCTTTTCAACTCGTATTTTATGAGTTTGGCTTGACCAAATAATTACTTGGCTGCTCTTTGTAAGATGACTACATTTCTTCGTTATTTTCAGTATTTTCAAGTTTCTTGGTCACGGGCTGAAAATGTTCGTTATCAGAATGACTTTTGTATAGAGAGATTGTATCTGTACGGACTGTCATCCTTTTGATGGACTTTGTCAGTTTGATGGACTTTGTCAGCTTTTTTGCTAACATAAACTGCTCGAGTTTTTGAGACATAGCCTAACATTATCTTTTGATGTCTTTTACACATATACTGAGACTCTTCTTAAATAATTGGACATAAATTAATCTTGATTTTTATTTGCAATTGTAACAAAAATTTAAATTTTATTTACAATTAGACCAACATCTTAAAGATCCTAGCTTCTTAAGTCCATAGAGAAAATCAATGAAGCCCATCTAACCCCATTTGCCGCCTCACCCCCATGGACATCTATACCTCGACCCACATCACCGCCAATGACAGTGACATCCAACCCCCTCTGTGGAACCAGCACCTTCGTCGTCCACTTCGTCCTTGAGTAGGACATTGTCGCGCAGGACGACGGTCGTTGCCCACGTCGTCCTCAATCGAGGAGCTCCGGCTCGAGCGCAAGGGTTGATTGGAAAATCTGAGGGGATTCAAAGGCGAGATCTTTACGGCCTAGATCGAACTGCGACAGATGTCGGAGCTCAGGTCTGAGATTGACGTGGCGCAAAGGGGGATATAGCGAGAAAGGGAGGGGATCGAGCGCAAACATGAGATACACGCGACCAACTTCCAGATCAACCGAGCTATGGAGAAGCACATGGCGGAGAACAAGGCCATGGCCGTGGTTTTGGGTCTTAATTTGGGTCCTAAATTCAATTTGATCATATACTGAAAAGTTTCAATCTTTTTCCAAATCAATGTATTTTACATTTATTACACTTTTATCTTTCATATACAACAATGTAAAGAGATATGATAATGTAAACATGTTATATATTACAAATAAACTAAACATAAACTTAAAAAGAAACAATAGTTTCTAAATCTGCAATAAAAGTGTATAATTTTTGCATATGTGCAATATTTCTAAAAATATTATATTTATGCAAAATGATTAAAAAATTGTAGTATATAGAATTTATTTGATATTTTTAACATCACGAATCCACATTTTGAGCATGTATGCAATTATTGTTATTATTATTATATATTTTTTTTTTATCATGAGCGATAGGAGTTCTTATAGCACAGAAAAAAAGATGTTCAGTACGAGAGGTACAAGCCTTAAAACCGGAGGCAAAGCCAGGGAGCACTACACACATAGTAGGCTAAATAAATCAAACATCATAAACACCAAAGGAGTTCTTAAATAAATCAAACATCAATAGATAAAAATCGAAAAGACAAACAAGAATCTAACCACTGAACTACTAAGTAGACCTAGATAGAGTTCTTGAACTATCACAACACCATAGTCACTTGACCGTAGCTTCTTGCCACTCCTTCAAAGCACCTGAGACAATGATTCTTTCTGGTCTCCATTTTTTCTCAAACAGCCAGAGGTTTCTCGATTTCCAGAGCCACCATAGGATGTAAGTGGTGAGCTCTATTCTTGCGTGAGTAGAGACAAATTTGTCCGAACTTTTAAACACTAGATGACAAGAGTTTGTATCCCATGAATAGCAGCTCTAGTTGCTACTACTCTACCATTAGAAACGATTTTGTTTGTTGTAAAAATCGTTGCAAACAATAACGAACTGTTTTCCGTTTCCGAGCATTAGCCACCCTGTTCTCACTAACCAATTATGAAACGGGATTTGTTTGTTTATGTTGTACAATAGTAACAAAATAAATACACAACAATAATTTCTGTTTATAAATCTCTAATTTCTACAAGAGTCCGTACCACATATTTTAAATTTGAACCAATTAAATATGTCAAGGCACCTAAAAAAAACAGGTCACATGTCTTTCGATTGAAAAACACACACGTCCCATGGTAAATACAAAATAAAAAAGGAAAAATGAATATTTTGAAGCTTTGAGCTCAAACAAACACATGAATTGTTGCGTCTTCGCATCTCGTGACCTTATGCTAAGTTGGTAAATAATCCTTTTGTTTTTTTTTTGTTTTTTTGT